GTTTTTGTTTGTTTGTTTGTTTGTTTTTTTGAGACAGGGTTTCTCTGTGTAGTTTTGGTGCATGTCCTGGATCTCGCTCCGTAGACCAGGCTGGCCTCGAACTCACAGAGATCTTCCTGTCACTGCCTCCCAACTGCTGAGATTAAAGGCCTGTGTTGGTGCTGCTGCTGCTGCTGCTACTGCTGCCGCCGCCGCTGCCGCCACTGCCGCCGCTGCCGCCACTACCACCTGGCTTTATAATCTCTTTTAAAAATAGGTATATAATATTTTGTTGAGCTGAGCGATGGTGCATGCCTTTAATCTCAGCACTTGGGAGGCAGAGCCAGGCAGATCTCTGTGAGTTCGAGGCCAGCCTGGTCTACAGAGTGAGTTCCAGGATGGGAACCAAAGCTACACAGAGAAACCTTGTCTCCAAAAACAAACAAACAAAACATAGACAAAAGTTTTGCATATTTGATTGTTGTTCATACTGAAAGGAAATAGAAAACCAACCTGATAATGCAGCTGCTACAATATCATTTGTACAGATGTAGCAGATAGCTGTTTAAAGAGATGCAAGTTATCACCTAGCCATGGAACTTGGCCTTGGCTGGAGTTTGTAGGGCTGGGAGAGGCATTCTGAAACTTTCATGCTGTGTTACACTATTCAAAAATCTACTCACCCCAGACAGGGAACCAATGGCAGACAAAAATAGGGATACTACCAAAGTCCAACTTGATGAGCCAATGAGTTTTATGGGGTTACTTGTAGGAGTGTAGGTGTGAGGTCACTTAGGGGAGCAGAAATGAGCCAGACAGCTGCATCGCCAAAGCTCACTCCAGAATGGGTGAGGCTGCACAAAAGTGGGAATCCCAGAGCTCACTGGAGAACTGCATATGCTTTGACAGGCTGGAGAGTCTGAGCCTCTTCCAGGCAGCTCAGCCTGTCTCCCTTAGGACCTTCTCAAGCAGCACTGCCCTGCCCTGCCCTGCCCCCCAAGAAACTAAAAGATCCCTTCAAAGTTGGAACTACTGGGGCCAGAGGGGTCTCTGCCCCTTCCAGAAAGTTCAGCTGGTCTGAGACTCTTCTAAGCAGCTCATCATGTCTAAGAATATCTCATAGCAGTCCTTACTGTTTATAGAAGCTTTGGAATAGAGAGGTCTAGACATCTGGTCCGTTTCAGGGACTTCCTGAAACTACTGAGTTGTTTATTTCCTGAGATTTTAACTATCTTCTCTGAAGAACTGGATTTTTACACTTCACTTTAGAACATTCAGGGGCTTCCATAAAGATGGAGTGTTTTATCTTGGAGGAAATTGTTATGTAACACTTGTCAAGTACAAATTTGTACATTCTTTTTGACAAAATGTACCTAAAACTTCAAGTGTAAACCAGCTAATCAGTTTCATAGCCTTGTTTTCCCCTGAAGAATAAGAGTTCAATGTTGTGTTTGAAAACTAGTCCTTGTCTTGTTGTGTCTAACAGTTTAAGCATCAGAAACTAAACCTGTGGAGAATGTTGCCCCACACCTGGCTCCCATTAATTCCAAGTTTGCCGAGATCTCCTGGTTTCTGTGAGGAGTAGTGACGCCTGATGAGGCCCTGAAGGAGGCAGAGTGCACTAGGACCCTGCAGACTACTTTAGTACTCTCTCCAATGGGAGTCATCTGCCGCTGGGTTTCACTCCAGTTCTCTCTCACCTGCTTCATAGGGGCTGCTTTCTGCCCTTTTAGTTCCTTCACTGTCCCCCTGAGAGTACCCCTTGAAAAAGTTACAATCCATCTTATGTTCTGCTTCTGGGACACATGCTCGAAGAATATACACCAATGAAAAATAATTAGTTGAGTATGCATCTGTGTTCACTAGCCTGAAAAGATGCTCATAATACATTAAGTGAATGTATAATACTTTCCCCCTCCAGTACTGGGGATGGAACCTACAGTTTTCTACATGATGGTGATAGGCAAATTTTATATATATATTCAGCCCTCTTTTTTTGTGACGCAGGGTCTCATGTTGTCTGGCCTTGAATTTGATATGTAGCTAAGGATGAGCTTGAACTCCTGATCCTCCTCCCTCCACTTCCCAAGTGCTAGGCATGCTCTGTTTATATGATGCTGGGATCAAACCCATGACCTCATGAATACTAGGCAAACACCTCATCACTAAGTAAGTTCTCAACAGCCCTCTCCCCCACTTTCCACTGTTTCTTTTTTCTTTTTCTTTCTTTCTTTCTTCTTCTTCTTCTTCTTCTTCTTCTTCTTCTTCTTCTTCTTCTTCTTCTTCTTCTTTTTTTTTTTTTTTACTTTGGATTTTGAGACAATCTCACTAAGTTGCACTGGCTGGCTATATACCCACTGTATAGCTCAGATAGATCTTGAACTTGCTATCCTCATAGTTATTCCAGAGTAGCTGGAATTACAGGCCTGTGAACTGAGCCTGGCCTAATGCTCACGTTTTATAGATACCCACTGAAATTTTTATTATTTTTTGAGACAGGGTCTTACTAAATTGCTCTGGATGGCCTGGAACTCCCTATGTAGAGTAGGCTGGATTTGAACTTACAGAGATTCACCTGCCTCTTGAGTGCTGGGATTAAAGGCATGTGCTTCAATACATTAAAAAATAAAAATCACTTGTAACAGATGTCAAGACATCTGCATAGACTAACATTACGGAATTACTTTATGTGTGATTAGCAGATGACAATTCTTTGGTTTTTGTTTTGAGACAATTTATGTATTCTTGGCTGTCCTGAAATGCACTATGTAGACCACACTGCCTCCCAAGTGCTGGAATTAAAGGCATGCACCACTATGACTGGCCAATGATTTTGTGTTGTTTTATTTTTGTTTTATGTGCCTGTATGTCTGTGCACCATGTGCATACAGTGCCCAAGGAGATCACAGGGTATCAAATTCTCTTGGACTGCAGTTACAGATAGTTGTGAGCAGCCATGTGGATGCTGGGGGTCAAATTTGGATCTTCTGGAAGAACAGACAGTGCTCTTAACCTCTGATTCATCTCTCACCTCTGAAAATTACAGTTGTTGAATCTACTGAAGGGTAATTTGACTTCATTAGATGAATCCTTCAACCTTTTCATAGATTATTTAAAGTAAGTTGAAGGAATATGTATCTTCTGGGTGTGAGGGTTATTGTGACTTTAACAGCTCAGGAATTGAGGGAATTGGATCCAGTTTTTGATTCTTGCATCCAAGGACTTTGTGTGCTACACCTGTAATGCTGATGTCAGATATTTGTGACAAAACTCATTCTGTTGCTTGGTAGACATTGACCCCAAGGGCACTGTACATTCGGAGCACTAGCTTGTGCCTTCAGCTTGCTTAATTGGTCTGTCAACTTGGTAGGCGTTTCTCAGCTGGACCTTGTACTCACTAGCTAGATTAACAGTCCACTTTCAATATGGGCAGATATACCCTTTGAGCTCAGTGTTTGACTTCGGGAACCCAGCCACAGGAATCAGGGACTAACAATGTGCTGATTCCACCAGCAAATCCTAACATCTAAAACCAGAGGACTGACCTAGAGTCTTTCGTAGTCAATGAGAACCATATTGCAGAGGGTGCTGACTGAAGTGGAAGTCACAATAGGCAGTGTAAAAACCAGGCTGGAAATTGTGTGGTGGTGGCACATACCTGTTATTTCAGCAGCACTCAGGAGACTAAGGAAAGAGGACTAAACTATGAGGTATGCCTGAGTTACATAGTGAGACCCTGTCTTTTAAAAAAAAGTAGTTCAGGCAATAGTGCCTCCCAGCAGTTGGGAGGCAGAAGTAGGCAGACCTCTGTGAGTTTGAGGCCACCCTGGTCTACAAAGCAAGTTACAGAATAGCCAGGACTGTTACACAGAGAAACCCTATTTCAAAAAAGAAAAAGAAAAAAAAAAAAGTATGTGGAAGCAAATTCCACTTATAATAATATCCACATACAGATTTGGAAGAATTTATACCAAATGTTTAACTTTGGCACTCTCTGGGTAGATGAACCTTAAGGTGTTTTGTTCCTTTTTCTTATCTAAAACTCCTAACTCATCTGTATTAATTGCTAAGTAATTAAATCAACTACTAAAGGATAAAATAATGGAAAACTTAGGTCAAGTGGATCATGAGTTCAAGGTCACCCTGAGCTACAAAAATGAGACTGTTAAAAAAATCGTATTTATTAAACAAATATAATAAATCATAATTAGGCCTTGGGCTCAGAGAATAAATGTTCAAATTTTCTTATGTATCTACTTATATGTCGCTACCTACACTGTGGTTAAAACTTCAGGTTCTGACGACAGGTGGTGGTGGTGGTGGTGGTGGTGGTGGTGGTGGTGGTGGTGGTGGTGCACACCTTTAATCCCAGCACTTGGGAGACAGAGGCAGGCGGATCTCTGTGAGTTCGAGGCCAGCCTGGGATGTAGAGTGAGTTCCAGGACAGGCTCCAAAGCTACACAGAGAAACCCTGTCTTGGGGGAAAAAACAAACAAACAAAACAACAACAACAACAAAAAAAAAAAAAACCTCCAGGTTCTGAGTTTGTGACAATTTCTTTATAACTTGGCCTTAGCCTCTAAGTCTACATTGTCATCAGGATGACACATAACATTACTAATCTCACAGCTTTGCTAAAAAACACAAAATGCACAGGAATATGGAATGAACTATGGTTGGCATAATGCCTAGCAGTGCTGATAAATTACTAGAGATATAACAGGCCTCCTGAAAGGGGCCAGCAGACTATGTATCCTCTGCTTAATTCTACAAGACTCTTCTGGGCTCTGAAAGCCGTGCTGGGAATCCTGACAGGCTTTTTAATCAGGGAAGGGTGCAGGCAAGACCAAAGGCAGCATTTCCAGCCTGTCAGTTTCCTAGGGCTTCTTCCTTCGATTGATATGGAGGTACTGGTTCACTCTGTTAATAAGTTAAAGCTCAGTGCTCAGGAGCCAGAGGTCAAAGTCTGACGCCCCAGAGAAGCGCCCCTCCCCCACTGGGAAAGAAAGTACACTTTTCGGTCACACAAGAAATAGTGTTTATTTGGAAAACAGTTTCAAAATTAACTCCCAAATTCAGAAGCCACAGCCCAACATATATAACCAAAGTAAACGAGGCAGGACTTCACCAGTTGCTCGATTAACAAAACTTTTATCTGATTTTGGGACGAAGTGCCTTCCCTCTTAAGAATCAACTGGAGTGCTCTGTATAAACAGCATTCTAAAGGTTAGTATCATTAATGAATTACTTTCCTTTGCAGTTTTCAAGTCTTTTCGCTATAGACTTCAGAATGGTTTACAGAAAAGTCTATTCAGTTCAGTTTTAGAGACAAAAACTACAGCCTCTCAGAGTTTAGTTTAACACATTTCTAGGGAAGCATCACATATCCTTTGCCTTGGTTATTCCCATTTCTAATCCCATCCCAGTCCTTTTAGGTCATGTTGTTTGTTTTTAAGGATCCACCTTCTTTGATATAGACCTAGCAATCTCATCACATAATTGTTAGATTTTCATTAAGATTGTCATTTAGTTACCTCCACTTGCTTCTGTCTCCCTTCTCTTTTGACACTCTCTAAGAACATTCAGTATTCTGACCTTTCCACCTTGAACCTCATACTAACCACCCCGTCTATTCCAGCCTCGATCTCATCATTTTCTTTAACTGGCCCAACTCCCTTTGGAGTCCCGGTCAAGATAAGGTCTCCTTCTTCCAAGGTTATTATCTTGGAAACGTAGCTGATGATGTAGGGGATGGAAAAGATCATAGACGATGTTTTGCCTTCCTGCCTGAGCTCACCGTTGACCTTGAGCCACAGTCTTAGGGCATGAGGGTCAGGGATCTTCTCCTTGGGCACGAAGGCGCTGACAGGGCAGGAGGCCGTGAAGCTCTTGGCCAGGGTCCAGGGCAGCCCCTTCTTCTTGCACTCTTCCTGCACATCTCTGGCAGTCATGTCCAGGCACAAGGCGTAGCCGGCCACATAGTCCATGGCGGCGGCCTCGGGGACGGCTTGACCACGCCTGCCCAAGAGCACTCCCAACTCCACCTCGTGGTGCAGGTTCCGGCAGTAAGCGGGCATTAACACCGGTGAGCCCTCGGGAGCGTACGCGGTGGACGGCTTCAAGAACAGCACAGGCTCGCTTAGCACCGCGCTGCGCATCTCCTTGACGTGGTCTGCGTAGTTCCTCCCCACGCACACGATATTCTTGCCCCATTCCCAGAAGCGAGACAGTGGCTTGGGGGAAGCCATGGTACAACCTTGCGTCACGTGACCGTTGACTCCCCGGTCTACGGCGGCCTCGAGGGGACAGCTGCCTTAGGACGCTGTTCGACCCTTGCTTGCGCAGCAGCGGGACGCTGAGGGCAGCTAAAGGTCTCTGCGCGAGGGCAACGGCCCGGAAGAGACCAGGAGGCGTACGCTCGGCCTCCCTTCACCGTCTACACCTACTTCCAGACCCGGTCTCCGGGCCAAGGCTGCCAGGGCACGGTAGGGAACATTTGGGGCAGGAGCTGCTGATTGGCTGGGGGCGGCACGGCGGCGCGAGACAGCCCCTGGTTGGCTGTGAGCTCTATGGGCGGGCACGGTTGGAGTGAGGGCGCGGCGTTTAGGTAAAGTGCAGGAGCTGGTTGGCCGGGAGCAGTGCGAGGAGGACACTGATTGGTTGCAGTCGCCAACGCCAGTGTTGATGCCCACGACGCTGGTGTTGCGGACTCCGCGACCCGGCTGTGCACCCGGTGGGTCATGGTGCTGGGTCTCGGGCCGCGGTGCGTCCAGAGCCTGTCAGCGCTGGGAGCCGCCTGCGCGCGCCGCGGTCTGGGTAAGTGTGTCTGGGCGCTGACGCGGCGCGGCCCGGTGCTGGCAGGCCGGACGTCGGTTGGGCGAGCCTTCGCCGTCTCCAGGCGCAGGTGCTGAGCGCCGCCGCCGGGCGGTCTAGAAGCGGGGCCCGGCGTGTTGAGGGCCGTCGCGTAGGCGGCTGGCATGGACGAGTGGCGCTGGCAAGGGCCGGGGCAGAGGGCGAGCATCTGCTCCTACTCGGCCGGAGTAGGACTCCAGTTGTGGGGTCGCGACCTCAGTTTCTAAGCCAGCTGCTTTTCCTCTTGGTGTCCAGCCGATGTGGCGACAGTGGGTTGCCAGCACCCCGGAGCTGGCCGTCCTGAGTCCAGCTAGCAGGGAACTTGAAAGCAATTGTGATTCAAAGTGCTCGGTCCATCTTTACTAAGAAGCCCGCTCGTTGAGAACCCCAGAAGTACAGGTCTCTCCAGTTAAGGAATTCATACCCCTTAGTGTCGCTGCTTAACGCAGCGCTAGACGAGGATACAGTTACTGCTGGGCAGCGCCGCTTATGGGAGTCCGCAGCTCAGCATTAGGTGCTGCGAAGCCCGCCCGGTGAGAAGAGGCAACTCTCTGAAAGTCTTGAGTTTTAAAGAATGTTATGAGCAAAATAAAACGTGTCCGTGGATTTGATCTCCAACACAGGCTGCAGAGCTGTGACCTCAATTCAAGCAAAATGTCCCTAGTTGCAAACTGAGGACCTGGGAGCATCTTCTGGGCAGTGTCAGGCTAGGTGGGTTAGGAAAAAGGTTTCTGGAGGTGCCCTCGGTGGGTGAATTCCTTCTTTAGGAGTTATCGAATCTTCTCCAGGTTACCATCAGGCTCTTTGGGGACCTAGAGTCGGGTGAGCACTAATAACAATGTTATTTAACCATACAGTGTTTGCAGTGCTCTGCCAGGAAATACATAAACGGGCTCATACCACCTGTTTCCACCCTTCTGCCCCCCATGGGCTTGGACAGTGCCAGGGCTTAGGGAGTTCAGAGATTACAGAAACCTGATCTCACAGAAATGTTTATTTTGCTGAACATGAGGAGAAGGGTCTGGAAAATGCCCAACTGGGATTCTGTCCCTTCCACTGCCAAAAAAAAAAAAAAAAGAGGCTGAGATAGAAGGGTTGCTGAATTTAAGGCTAGCCTGGACTACACAGTGAGTTTTGGACTACACAGGGCTATAGAGGGATAACTATTAAAAGGAGAAATGGAGTTTAATGCAGTGACAGAGCACTTCCCTAGTGTGCTTAAAGTCCTGGGGCACCCGGGGCACCACAAAACAAACAGTGCCATTTGGTTAGTTTTGCTGGTCATGGTTATTTGAGTTGATGGTATCAGCTATCACAGGTCAAAGCTGTTGTTTTCTGGGTTTGAGAGTCAGAATGCCATTGTCTTCTCCCACCTTGTGTGGTTCTCCCTCTTGAAAGCCAAGAGAGAGAACGTTTCTGGAGGCCCCATGTGTTTCAGGTTGAATGAGAGTCTTACCGCTGAGAATATTTGGCATCTGTTGACTGGGTGGAGTCGAGTGTACCTTTGTCCCCCAGTCCCTCAACCTCCTCGGCGCACCCCAGGACAGTCCTTGCTTGAATGATCGTTCTGTGTCCTTCACGCTTGAGTCTCAGACAGCCAGCTTCTTATTTCCAGGAGCTGGCACTGTGTGTGTTTTCCTTTATGTTGGCCATTTAGTATAAGACTCTGGCTTCTCATCTGGGAGAGGCCTGAGAAGGGTTGTAAGTCCAGAGGACTGAACTCTTGTTAGTGCTGAGGTCGTGGCTGGAGGGTGAGCCGCTCCGCTCTGGTGCCTCATTCTGCCTTCCTCAGGTTTGAGTCACACCACAGGCAGGTAGGAAAGCCTGTAAGAACTCTTGAAAAGAAATAGCAGGATTCCAGGTCTAGCTTGAAGTGTAGCTCACTTGCCTTGCATGTGTGAACTCCTGGGATTCTGCCCCTTCCACTGCCCCCCAAAAAAAAGTCTGAGACAGAAGGATTGCAGAATTTAAGGCTAGCCTGGACTACACAGTGAGTTTTGGGCTATACAGGGATATAGAAGGAGAACTATTTAAAAAAAAAACAAAAAACAAAAAACAAAAAAAAAAAAAAAAACAAGCAACCAAACAAAACCTAAAAAACACCTCCCTCAAAAAACCCAGAATAATAATTCCGTATCTGCGACGGGCTGACTGACTTAGCCTCCGCTTTCCTGGAGGATGTGGTGAAATGGGATATTCCCTCACAGGAGCTGGGGAAACAGGCCATCAAAGCACTGGGTGGAAGGGGTATGGCTGCCCTGAAGTCTTGGGAAGCTGTCCTTGTAAAGCACTGAGCTTCCTCCTGTGTGTTTTTGTTTTGTTTTGTTTTGTTTGGAGCTGAGGACCAAACCCAGGGCCTTGCACTTGCTAGGCAAGCACTCTACCACTGAGCTAAATCCCCAACCCCTTCTCCTGTGTGTTTATTCAGGTCAGGCCCTACTGGGAATCTTACTGTATCACACAGATTTCAGGAAGAGTCTGACTGTGGAGCAAGACATGATGAAGGTTGAGCTACTGCCTGCCCTGACTGACAACTACATGTACCTGGTCATTGATGAGGACACCCAGG